TTTGCACTGCCTTCTCAAGCTTCTCTCATGCAGCAGCGAGAGGAATCCAAGATGGCAGACGTAAAGTCCGCGAATCTTTTTAAAAAGAGTAAATACTATCGATCAACTCTCCCGCGCATCCTCAGCTGCGCTCACGACTGACGCTTGGACGTCCCGTGGAACATACAGTATAATAGATCCGTGAGCGGTTGATCCATGAGATGTTACGATAACCGCTCACTTCATCACTGCAGACTGGGAGATGAAAAGTCTGGCACTGCAGACACGCACCCTCTACGACAGTCACACAGGCACACAGCACAGGTATTGACACAGCACAGGTACAGGCACACAGCGCAGGTACTGACACAGCAGTGGAGGAATGGAAGACAAAGGCCCAGTACTAATATCCCAGTCACAACTGATAATGCCAAAAATTAAATAAATGCAGTGAATGAGGCTGGGCCCAGGATGGAGCGCCTCCTCAGGAGAATCAGGTGGTTTAAATACCCTCATAAAGTGCCTTCTTATGTTGCACTTTGTGTTGTTTTTCATTAATTATGTTAAAAAGACATAATTGGATGGATGGCATATGCCCTCCATCCATCCTTCCATTTTCTTCCCCTTAATCCATTTCTAGGTCAGGGCGGTGGCAGTCAGAGCTGCACCCAGTACACAGAGCACCAGCCCCTCACTGATCCTCCTGCAGGTGTTGAGTCCACAGGAGCCTTGTTTATTAAATAGACAAAACTTTTTTTTTGGAAAAATGAACCGAACCGTGGCCTCTGAACCGAGGTACGATCCGAACCGTGATTTTTTTTCAAACCGTTGCACCCCTAATATCTATCTTTGAACATAATTCACATCTGGACCATACCACTGTCTTTGTTATCCGTGATTTCAAACACCTCTCCCTCTGTGAGCCGAATCTTAGCTTCTGGTCTGAGCCCAAATACAATCAGTTTACTGGACTTAATATTGTTATATGCTACACTAGCTGTTTTTTCAGTCTTTGAAATGTTGATGTGGCTAAATTATTTTGAATACAGATACTGTTATTGTTGAGAAAAAAATTCCAGGTATATTGGAAATGTTTATGTATTTTGTGTCATATTTTAACTTTGCGTTTATCGATTATAATGGCACACTAGATGAGAAGAAAATTTCAAACTGGCACTCCATGTCACAAACGTTGCCGACCCCTGCACTAGAGTAATCTGTGAGGCAAGATCCTTGGAGAATCAGGAGATTTGGATCCATATGAAAGGCGGCGAGACCAGTGGACTTCCCAGAAATGGCTTACTTTTACTTAACCCTTGTATTATGTGAAGGGTCAATTTGACCCATTTCAGTTTTTGTGTTGATCAAAGTACTGGTTATCCTTTATTTTTCTTGCTGAAATTTGGTGACTTTTCCTCATCTAGGGTCATGAACTGGTGTGTAAAATCCAGAGGTGTGGACTCGAGTCATGTGACTTGGACTCGAGTCAGACTCGAGTCATGATTTTGATGACTTTAGACTCGACTTGACCAAATATAAAAAGACTTGCAACTTGACTTGGACTTTAACATCAATGACTCTGACTTTCACTTGGACTTGCGCCAATTGACTTGCAAAGACTTGCGTAACCCGGGCCATTTTTACCTTTCTCCGCATCTCTCTTTCTATCTATGCCGTCTCTGAAGAAACAAAGCCTCGCGGTAGTTGTAGCGCTCGCGCGAGAGTTCGAACGTGAGTTCCAGGCAGTTCGCGCAGCAACACTTCCCTAAACAAGCGGACTGCATTCACCGGTGGGTGTGTTGTCTAGGGGAGCTGGAAATGAGCGAGCTGCAGGTATTTATCGCGACCTAACGTCATATTTTGTTCTAAAAACCGTAATTGATATGCTTTCACTACAGGCGCCTCATACAATTGAATCGACGCAGTTGTCACACTGTGTGCCGTGTTTTAAAGAGGAACTGGTGAGTCAAACTAGCGCTAGCCTGCGCTGCTCTGTTGGCTCTTTCTTATATTTTTCTGTGTGGGCGCCGAGGCCTATTATTATGAGTATGTTTTTGCTGTGCTCCTCCTGCTAAAGTTTGCATACATTAGATAGTTGTTTTGATTATGTGCACTAAGCTAGATTAATATTTGCACTATTGTTTATGGTTCATTGATATGAGAATCAGTACTTTGACTGATTGAATTAATTTATATGAGACATTTTATTATGTAATGATATATTGGTAATTATGAGATATTACTAATGCTGGCCCAGTTCATACAGGCCAGGTTCCTTCCCCTCCATTGGTCCCTTCAGTCTTTTGGAACAATAACCACTATGGACATTAAACTGATTATATAGATACAGGTCCTAGCCCAATACTCATATTCATATATGCTGCACTTGCTACTTCCCATTAAAAACCCCAAAGATAAAAAGTATGTTGACACGGACTGCTCTGATTTTATGTGTGGTCTGTGCATGTGTAACTGAGCCTGCATCTGGCACAACATAGTTTTGATTTACCAGCAGCCAACCACATGGAACAAACTGTTAGTCCATGGGTCAGAGACCAACGAGAATGCACCAGCAAAATGATTCCTAACATTATTTTGTTTGCCTACAAAAAGTACGTGGAGACCAACAAGAAACAAATCGCGGTCAAAAAGACTCGAGAGGACTCGAAAGTCAAACCGTAGGACTTGGGACTGACTTGAGATTTGTTGGCCTTTGACTTGGACTCGACTCGGGACTTGCCTGTCTTGACTCGTGACTTGACTCGGGACTTGAGGGCAATGAATTGAGACTGACTTGTGACTTGCTAAACAATGACTTTGTCCCACCTCTGGTAAAATCTAGACACTTTGATGTGTAGTGGAATGTCTGTGCAGAGTTTGTATACAAAGATGATGTTGCGGGTCATTTTGACCCAGACGCTTTAATGTGGGTAAATAGTTGTTCAGATCCAAAAAAACATGTCTCTTTGACATTGTATTTTGATTGCCTCTGAGACCCAGAGCCAGGTGTGTGAAGAGAGGGAACTTTCTCACACTTGTCCTTGTCACTGTTCTCATGTCATCTCTTTTGCCTAGCGTACATTGGACTGGCAACTGAATATATCCGTCGCCTTTGAGTTGCTGCCCCGCACACATCGACAATGTGGCGAAAACGGGCAACTCTTAGTAGCAGGCCAGTCTCGGGAATAACAGCGTGTACATCGACAGCAACTGGCCGTCAACTACAGAGTGTTTTCTGGCATAAACTGTAGAGGCCGCGCAATACACACATGTTGTTGGAGCGCGCACATCGGGTGATATCTCCGGATCTGAGTAAAACTAGTTGCCGAAAAGTAGAACACGGGCAACTGACTGAATCCGGAGATCGACTGTTTATCTCCAGTTGTAAGAGTGCTCACATTGGCCGATTTCAACTGATCATCTCCATCATCTACTCCCAGTTGCCAAAAGCCGCCTTGCAACTAGTTGTCTCCAATTACTCTGTCCATGTACGCTAGGCTTTAGACAAACTCGCCAAAAATGAGCTCCAGAAGGATGACATCTGAGGAGGCTTTATCACAGATTTTTAACTGGGATAATGATGTAGAGGAAGAGATTTCAAAAACAGAGGATTTTTCAGAGACAGAGGACAATGTTATTGCTGATCCAGATTGTCAATTTTCCTACGATAAGGAGGATTCAGAGGACGAATCTTTGGTCAAAGAAGAGGAAGGGAGGAAGAAAGGAAGGTAGGAAGGAAAGAAGGGAGACAGGAAGGAAAGAAGAGAAAAGAAGGGAATATAGAAGGATGAACAGAGAGAAGGAAAACAGGATGAGAAAAAGGAAGGAGAAAGCATGGCAGGAGGAAAGAAGGAGGGAAGAATAGTCATTTTGACCCGAGAGGAGGACAAGAAGATTAGACTAAATAATTCTTAAATATAGTGTTGGAATTAAAAATGTATTGTATGTCACTTTTCTAAATATTTATATAACCTAAAATAAAGTTGTTTTAACCTGTTTTCTTGACTGTTTTGAGTGCATTTACACAGTAAGGGTCAAAATGACCCGCAACATAATCAATGTCATTTTTTTCCAACATACAATACAATACAAGGGTTAACAATTTTATAATTAAAAAAACGTCATGATGTCTATGATACAATATTTCTTTCAATCAATATTTTATTTTGAACAAACCAGTTGATATCACATGCCGCAAGTCACTACCCTTTCCCCCCTCCTCCTCCCCCTCTCATTCATTTAGATTGGAGCCTCGAGGCGCCTATATACTTAGACCTAGTATCACAGTCAAATCGCAGCTCTGAATATAAACCACACATGCACAGATTTAGCTAGCTCTTACCTGTTATGAAATGGTCAGAACAGACCTTATATAGTGCCATTTTTCTCGCCAACTAAAGAGTCTTTTCTCCATCGAGAGTCGCTCCCCTGGCTCGTAATAGCCTTCGGAATGTCCCCACAATCTACTAGGGATGTAACGATATTGACAATATCGCGGTAGTAAAAGTGCCTCGATATTGTCGTGGTCTTGTTACGATATTTAAACGGACAGTTATCCGTCAAGAGAATAGAATAAGTCAGATCCCGAGGAAAAAAACATTGTAAACTACATAGACCATGATCCTTTGCGCTGCGTCGTCACAACAAATGAGCTGTTGAGCCAATAGGAGCGCATGTTTTACGCTGTAGTGTCCACACAACAAGTGAACATGGCGGTTAGCCGCGACCAAAGTGGGGCTCCCGTGGATACTGATGAAAACGCCCCCGAAGTTGTGCCAGCCCCTGCAGCTTTTAAGTCAGACGTATGGCAGCATTTTGGTTTTGCTGTGTCAAAAAATGCTAAAGGAGAGAGGGTGGCAGACAAACAATGGACCATGTGCAAACACTGTCACGCGAAATTACGATACTCCACGGGAAACACCAGCAACATGCGGAGCCATCTGACGACCCATCACCTTGAAAAGTTTACAAAGAAAGTCACGTCAGGTCAAAAAACCTTACAGGAGGCATTTTTGACAACTATGCCACACAACAGCACAAAGGCTCAAGAAATCACGAGGTACATCGCGGAATACATAGCGTGTGATTTACGTCCCTTTTCTGCAGTAGATGGAAAAGGATTTAAAAGGTTAGTGGCTAAGCTTGAGCCAAAGTATAAGATGCCATCGCGGGCTCATTTTAGTCAAACTGTGTTCCCTGCTCTTTACCGTGAGACAAAAGAAGAAGTTATGCTGAACCTTAAACAGTCAGAGAGCATCGCTATTACCACTGATGGATGGACCTCACGAGCGACCCAGAGTTACATTACTATTACGGCGCATGTTATAACGAATGAATGGGAGATGAAGAGTTTTGTTTTACAAACAAGGCCGCTAAGCGAATCACACACTGGCGCAAACATAGCCGAAGTGCTCAAATCTGCAGTCAAAGACGAGTGGAGGCCGGACAAGATTAGCACAAAGATCGCTGTAGTTACTGACAACGCAAGCAACATGCGAGTAGCAGTAAACGAAGCCGGGCTGTCTCCTCACATAAGATGCTTCGCGCACACATTAAATCTGGCCTCCCAAGCAGGTTTAAAGGTAAACGCTGTGAACCGTCTCCTCGGTAGAGTCAGGCGTGTGGCAAGTTTTTTTCATCGCAGTCCTACAGCCACAGCCGTGCTGACCAGCAAACAAAAACTACTCAATCTCCCTGTGCACAAATTGATCATTGATGTAGCGACTAGATGGAATAGCTCACTGGATATGGTTGAGCGTTACCTAGAACAACAACAAGCTGTGGCTGCAGCCCTTCTGAGTGATGAACTGAGACAAAAGTCACGTGAAATAGACACTTTGGACACATCTGACATTGCAAATGCTGAGGACCTTGTCAAGCTTCTTGTGCCAATAAAAAAAGCCACAACTGCGCTCTGTGATGAGTCGCAACCGACAATATCTCTCATTTCACCACTAAAACAAATGATTCAAGACAGCATGGCCACAGATAACCACGACTCAAATGCCATTGCTCAGATGAAGACAGCCATACTGAAGGATCTCTCTGACCGATACCAAGGAGAGGATGAAAAGTTCTTGCAGGAGAGCAGTGCCTTGGATCCACGCTTTCGCACCTTGCAACATCTAAGCAGCAGAGTGAGGGAAGACGTCTTCGAACGAATAAAGTTGAAAGAATCACAGATGCAACAACAACAACAACAGGTGAATATTTTTAATGCTGTGCTTTAGAGAAATGTCATAAAATGTAACAAAATACTAATATAATGTCTCTTTATCATTTAAGAACCAGGGCCAAGATGTGCTGCCACAGAGTCCACACCCAGCAGATCTGGACAGCAGTGAGAGCCTCGTGCCTCCTCCTAAGAAGCATACCCTTGAGGACCTCCTTGGGAGTTCCTTCAGCAGTAAAGGTGAACTCCAGACAGGTGGAATCCAGAGAGAGATGGACTCTTTCTTGAAAGAAACAATCGTTTCTCTATCTGCTTGTCCTCTTAAGTGGTGGAGAGACCATGCAGGGCAATATCCCACTCTTTCTTCATTAGCGAAAACCTACCTATGCATACTGTACCTGCTACCTCAGTACCTAGTGAGAGAGTGTTTTCCACTGCAGGGGATATTGTAAATGCACAAAGGTCTCTTCTTCTCCCAAGCAATGTAGATCTTTTGATATTTCTGAAGAAGAACCTCAACATAAGCTCTTAGGTTACCCGTGTTTTTTCAGTTGGCCTTTTGCCTGACTATTTTATTTAAGTTTAGATTATTGTTTATTATTTATTTGGTTGGGGCAGTGCATGTTAATTAATAGACATGCATCTATTGTACATGTTTGTGGATGTTTTCAACAGGCGGTTTTTATTTGCCTACTACTTTTTGTTTTATGCTTTTTTACACATTTGAACCAGACTTGAGCTTTGTTTGCACTTGAAGGGAATTCCCTTTAGTTTTTTGTTTACAGTTCTACAGCTCAACGGTATATGGATGTTAATGACTTGAGGTTTCACTTTAAAAGCATTAAGTGATGCTGCATGAATATAACAATAAATGCCCTGACTGGCAAAAGTTGCAGTTTAAATGTCAGTTTTTTATTATCATCATCATAAACTCAATATTGTGAGCTATTTTACAATACCGTGAGCCTCTCCACAATATCGCAATAAATATCGTACCGTGAGCTCAATAACGATATCGTATCGTATCGTGAGATTATGATATCGTTACATCCCTACAATCTACGCGGTTACTGCACCCCCAAACGATGCAGACAGTCAGCATGTTTTAGCGCAAAAAAGTGATTTGGCCCGATTTGTGTACCTACAACTAGTGGCGGCTAGACTAGCAAAATGGCGAACTGTGGAATTGTGGGTAGTGCGTGACGTCAGTGGAAAACTATCTGTAACCCATATTAAAATTCTGGTTGCCTCCCACTGTATTATTTTCATTCCTACCGCTCCTCGTTACCATAGTAACGCTAGTCTCGCGATACTCCGCGGGGCAGTCTCAAACGCAACTTCCAGTAGTCATAATCAGAGTTACCGCGGCTCCACCGGTAACTGGGTGGGATGCCAGACTGAGTTGGCTGTAGGTAGATGCGTATGATCATGTCTCGTTTGTCATTCATGTACTCATACCTTGTGTTCCTCAATCAGATGCCTCTGTCCTTACTGAGCACATTGTGTGTTTGTGTGCTCTGTATTCTGCAAGGAACCGGTGAGTCATGTTAACCGGCAGCTAGCCGATGCTAATGTTTTTATACTCACTGTGATAAACTGTGTGCTCAGATTGCCTTTGATAGAGTTTTTAAGTTAGCGACCTTAAAGTATATATTGTGTCCGATCAGTCACGCAAATATAACACAGATAGCTGCAGTATTACAACACAGATAGCTGCAGTATTACGTGTTTAATCATGCTAGCAACAGCGGCGGCGCTAGAAGCAGTAGCGGTGCTAGCGGCGGCCATCTTGTGTATGTCATCCATGGGATTGTATTGATAATATGTGTATTCACTGTAGTCTGTTGCATATTAAGAAATTATGATGTGTATTGAATGACAATGTGTTTACATTATGAAATGGTACCACTGATATTTTAGAGTTGAACTATTGTAATTATTACCAGGACAATGGACTAAAACACTGGTTTGCTTCACACAGGCCAGGTCCTCAATACTTTCTGGGCTTCAGGAGATTACATCTTTATTTGATTCTGCGAATGTGGTAGGGGGCTCTGCAGCCACATAACTCACCCACTCACTTCCAACGCTTTTGGGGACAATGTTCATACTCTGGACTAATTATTCAAACGAACTATCTCTGCTGCTTTTACACATGGACAATAACCCAACGCGTTGTGGATTACACTCTTGAGTTAAAGTTCTGGACTGTGGACCATACCTTATTCCGATCAACTACCAACAGTGCACTTTGTACATATTGTATATATTTCTGTATATTGTTTCACATGTACATATCATTCATCACAATACAAAACTCATAATCGTACCCCTCGTATATGTCTTTTATTAAGCATTGTCTCACTTTCCTCCGAGCCGAATTAGTTCTTCTTAGTTTATATTAATTGTTCTTCTCTAATCACGTGACGTACATGTTACAAGAGTGGCGAGCTATAGCCCAGGAGGAAAATCGAACAGTGCTTAATAATACATTTGTGAAAATGGACGTTTTTGAAAAACTGAAAATTGTAATCCCTAATGCAGTGCTGTTTGAGGGCACAAGTGAGAGTTACAATGAAGTGGTTACGTTTTTGGAAAAGTTTGGTGACATTTATTGCACTTATGTTATTGATAAACCCGATTCAGAGTTTTTTCAAGCTAAAGTGGTTGGCAATGTCTGCGTTAAGACCGTCGTTACCTTACACTTCCGTCTCTGAAGGGGGTGGGACATATCACATCACAGATTTGTCCATCATGTATACAGAGAGGGTGGGAAAAAGTAAAACTAAAACTTATCTTGCTGAGATAGAGAAGTTGGCTAGTGATCAGGGAGTGGATTATGCTGAAGTTTTACAATCAGTCATGACGCAGATAGGACAATCGATTTCAGAGCTCCGTCCTGCTGCTCAGATGAAGCAATCACCTTCCACAACTGCCAGTACAGTAACTGCTTCGACATCAGCGCAGTCACCATCCCGGTCCACACCGCTTCCACAAGTAACATCTCAAGCTGGAGTGAATGTAAGCCCCAATTTAACACCCCAAGACATGAATCCACCGGGAATACAGCGATATGTAGTGGAACATATTGTTAAAAATGAAGAGGGACCAATGCACTCATCCGCACAGCGACTCAGACCTTTCTCTGGCCGAAGTCCAAGACCAGCTAATGAAGCAGACTATGAGACATGGCGTACCGGTGTAGTTATTATTGAATGACCCCTCAGTTTCCGATTTACACCGGTCAAGAAAAATAGTTGACAGTCTATTGCCTCCTGCCATGGAAATGGTTAGACATTTGAGTTCAGATACATTGCCCGCAGTTTATCTCCACACTTTAGAATCTGCATATGGGACAGTTCAAGATGGAGAGGAACTATATGCTAAATTCATGGACACGTTCCAAAACACAGGAGAGCCGCCATCAGCATATCTCCAACGTCTTCAAGTCGCTTTGAGTCAAGCTGTTAAAAGAGGAGGAGTCTCGGGGAATGATTTCAATAGGCACCTGCTCACACAATTTTGCAGAGGTTGCTGGAATGATACTTTGATATCTGAACTGCAATTGAAACAGAAGAAGGCAAACCCTCCATCGTTTGCTGAGTTGTTGTTACTGCTGAGGACTGAAGAGGATCGAGAAGCTGCGAAGAGTATGCGCATGAAACAACATCTGGGTACAGCAAAGCAGAGGGTGTCTTCCCATGCCCATTTTGTCTTTACTGAAAATGAAGAAAAAGGAGCTGTGGCCGCATTAACCACTCTGACGCAGCAGCTAGCGCAACAAGTGGCTGATATGTGCTCTCACTTCTCACTGCTGGCCAACGCAATAATCCATCCACAGGACATCGAAGCCGTCCGTAAGCATCTCCGTGATCTTCTTGAATCCGGGGTAATCGGAGAATCCCAGTCACCTTTTGCTTCTCCGATTGTCGTTGTCCGGAAGAAGAATGGGGATGTTCGTCTGTGCATAGATTATCGGAAACTTAATCTACAGACTGTGAAAGATGCATATGCAATTCCCAACCTGGAGGAATCTTTCTCAGCTTTGACGGGATCCAAGTGGTTCAGCGTTCTGGATCTGAAATCCGGATATTATCAGATCGCCATGCAAGAAGAGGACAAATCCAAAACCGCGTTTGTCACTCCCTTAGGCTTTTGGGAATTCAATAGAATGCCGCAGGGTGTTACAAATGCACCAGGAACTTTTCAGCGGTTGATGGAAAAATGTATGGGCGATTTGCATCTGAAGGAAGCTCTTGTCTTTGACATATGACATAATCATCTTTTCTGACACTTTGGAAGAGCATGAGCGGAGGTTGTTGCGAGTCCTTGGTCGACTGAAGAGCTATGGCCTGAAGCTTTCACCAGAGAAATGCCGTTTCTGCCAGACGTCTGTCAAGTACCTTGGTCACGTGATTTCTGAGCGAGGGGTGGAGACCGATCCAGCGAAGATTGAAGCCCTTAAAACCTGGCCAGTTCCGACAAATCTTAAAGAGCTGAGGTCCTTCCTGGGGTTCTCCGGATACTATCGTCGGTTCATAAAAGACTATTCCACACTCACCAAGCCACTTAACGATCTTACCAAAGGCTACCCACCAGTACGGCGGTCGACCAGGGTGAAGAAGGCCCAACCTCAATATCTCGACACGAAGCAATCATTCGGTGCTCGATGGACACTTGAGTGTGAAAAGGCATTCGAGTTGCTGATTGACAAATTGACAACATCCCCTGTTCTTGGATTTGCAAATCCAAAGCAGCCATACATTTTGCATACAGACGCCAGCACAACAGGGCTCGGCGCAGCGCTGTACCAAGAACAGGAGGGTCAATTGCGTGCTTATGCCAGCCGAGGGTTGTCTATCAGTGAGTCCCGATACCCAGCCCAGTTCTTGAGTTCTTGGCACTAAAGTGGAGCGTGACCGACAAGTTTCACGACTACTTGTACGGAGCGAACTTTACAGTGGTAACCGACAGTAACCCACTGACGTACATACTCACCTCCGCAAAGTTAGATGCCACGAGCCACAGGTGGCTTGCAGCTCTTTCAACTTATTCCTTCAAGCTCCAATATCGTGCCGGTCGCCAGAACTTTGACGCTGATGCTTTATCCAGACGTCTTCATCAATCCAGTCCTGAAGATTGTCTCTCCTTCAAAGAGCAAAATCTGATTCAGCAGTTTCTGAGGGACCGTATTTGTGATCCTGGTGAGGAAGAGGAGCTTTCTCCCGACATTGTAAGTGCCATATGCACAAGTTCACTGGAAAATGGATCCTCCGTTACTCTTGCCGAATCTCTTTCCATGCATGTCAAGGGTATTCCTGACAACTACTTCTCTGATGAACAACACGGACTCCCCGATCTTCCAGCACTCTCTCCATCCGAACTGAGAGCCCAGCAACTTGCAGATCCTGCTATCTATGAAGTTGTACATCAGCTGGAGACGGGTGATAAAGTGGTCCCTGCGATCAGGCAAGAACTCCCTGAACTCCCTTTGCTATTGAGAGTTGAACAAACTGGAGTTGAGAGATGGAATCCTCTATAGGAAGCGGCATGAGGACGCAAACTCTACTTTTCAGCTTGTTCTACCACCTGCGTTGCGGCCAGTGGTCCTCACAAGCCTTCACAACAACATGGGCCATATGGGGATCGAGAGAACGCTTGACTTGGTGCGTCAGCGGTTCTTCTGGCCAAGAATGTCTTCTGATGTGGAGAAGAAGATCCGTACTTGTGATCGGTGTGTGAGACGGAAGGCCATGCCCGAACGTGCTGCTCCGTTGGTCAACATCACCACAACTCGACCTCTAGAGCTTTTGTGTATGGATTTCTTGTCTCTTGAGCCTGACAGCAGTAACACAAAAGACATTCTGGTGCTAACAGACCATTTTACAAAATTCTCTGTTGCGCTCCCCACGCCAAATCAGAAGGCAAAGACCGTTGCCAGATGTTTGCTCAATGATTTCATTGTCAATTTTGGTATCCCCGAGCGACTACATACAGACCAGGGGCCTGACTTTGAATCCAAGTTGATCCAAGAGCTCTGTTTGGCAACTGGAATGAGAAAAACTCATACCACCCCTTATCATCCCAGAGGTAACCCGGTGGAACGGTTCAACCGGACTCTGTTGAGCATGTTGGGTACCCTGGAGCGCAAACAGAAAAGTAAACGGCGTGAATACGTGAAACCGCTTGTACATGCGTACAATTGTACACGCAACGAGGTTACTGGCTTCACACCATATGAACTTCTTTTTGGAAGGACTCCTCGTCTGCCAGTTGATCTAGCATTTGGCTTGCCAGTTCGAGAGACGCCAACTCCAACACACACTCAGTATGTCAAAGATCTGCGATCCCGTCTGGAAGAATGTTATCAAGTTGCTTCCAAAAATGCACTTAAGTCTGCCGAAAGGAACAAGACGCGGTTTGATCAACGAGTGACGCCATGCAAGTTGGAGGTTGGAGACAGAGTCCTTGTCCGAAATATAAGGTTACGAGGAAAACATAAGCTTGAAGACAAATGGAGATATGTACATATCATTCATCACAATACAAAACCCATAATCGTACCCCTCGTATATGTCTTTTATTAAGCATTGTCTCACTTTCCTCCGAGCCGAATCAGTTCTTCTTAGTTTATATTAATTGTTCTTCTCTAATCACGTGACGTACATGTTACATATCCATTGTGCCTCTGCAAACTATTGTTTGTTGAGGGACATTTGAAAAAAGTCTGAAATGCATGTCAGCCAATGGCTGTCATTAAATCTGTTTGATTTGCTAACAACATTTAATTATTGGGCACAAACTGTCATGTTCCTCCTGTGTTCTCCCCTTGTGTTTGTGTGTGTGTGTGTGTGTGTCAATCAATCTTGGAGCAGCCTTCACCACCTGCAATCCATTCACAATCTAGCTCTCCATATAAACCCGGCTCTTCCACCACTCTCTGCCAGAGAAGACGGCGGACGGCAGGAGAGCTGTGAACTGATTCTTAATAGTTACTCTGATAACGGAAAAGTGAGGTCTATGGTGAAATT